TATCATATTTGTTCCCATGTTTGGGAGATTTTAATTAATTAAAATACTATTACTTCTGTGAATATTTTAGATATGACATTTGCATTGACTCCTGCATCTTCACTGATGCATATCATCTTATATTGTTTCTCTTGGTATCATCTTGAAGCTGCTGGATTGTCATTTCATGCTGCTTTGTTATTTTTAAAAGTTCTATCCTTTCATGATCCCTAATTGCAATCCTGTCCTTAAGGTCTGAAATTTTACCTTTGGCTTCATTTAAATGGTTTTGCCAGCTTTGAATAGAATTTTGTGTTTCTTGGATGTTTCCTTGAGTTTGTTTCATGAATTCTACTTATTTTCTATATTGCTCATTCAAGGTTTCAATCCCAGTTTCCCATGCTCTTGTATTTTTTTTTTCTATTTCTTCTTTAGCTGTGCTCAGTAACTCCTTTACTAAGGTTGTTATTTCTATCTTTACATGGGATAGTACTTGTAATTTGATTTCCTCTATAGCTTCATGGAGTTTTTTTTTTATTTCACTCACTATCTTTTCAGAGATTTCCAGTGTGTTACTTTTGAAGTCCTCAATTTCAGTGTCTCCTGTACTTGCTCCTGGTGGACTAGATGCTTGAGATTGCATTTTGCTTTTTCATTTTGCCATTTTCCCCTTTGAGTTAATATTTGGTCCTTCAATCCCACTAGTGTCAACTGTTGGTAGTGGGTATCTTGGGGTCCTAACGTAAGGTTGATGTTTGTCCAATTGCCGGGTCCACAATGAATAGGTAGGCCAGTCACCTGACTTCCCACTGCAGGGCCTTTTGGGTGAGTCCTATATTCTTCCTGGCCTGCCAAGCCTAGCAGTATTGATGTAGATCAACTTTTAGTTACTGCAGTTACTTTATCTTCAGGTTATTCCAGGCCACCAAATCTCCCTGACTTTAGTGTTTGTGTCAGCTGAGGCCCTACTATGTCCCTATTGTGTGCCTGTATGTCTCATAAGCCCTTTTGATTTTCTCCAAGTTGGAAGAGTCCTTATTTGTACATTCTTTATCCTGCCTGATGTTCTCTGTGTGCAGGAAGGAGTCACCCACACTCTTACCAGATTCACTAAGGTCTTACAGTTAGTTGGAGGGAGCTTTACTCTATGTTAGGGACATACTCACTACACTGACTGGAGCCTGCTAAGATCCTTTGTTTGGGTGAGGCAGTTACTGAATCTCCCATCAAGCTAGCATGGTTAATCTGCTGTAGTCCAAGGTTGTGGAAGAAAGGGTGGGAGCTGAAGATCAACAGTACTATTAGGTCCAGGAGGTAGGGAGTGTCCCGAGGGGCCAGCAGGTGTTCTGGGTCCAGGCATCCACTGGGCACATGGGAAGCATGGCGTAGCAGCGTAAGTGGTCCTGGGCTGAGGGGCAGGCCAGTGGTGTCCATCCAAGCATCTGTGGGGGCGCTGCCTTGTTTTGAAGTACTATATTGCTTTCATGGTTTTTTTTTTTTTTTTTGAATGGGTTCATCTGTTTCATCTTGTTTGGTCTTAGTCTACTTAGTGAAGCTGTAACTTCAACTGGTTTTTGAAGTTGTAAGGCAAATGCCAGGAGAAGCACAGGAGCATAGTGATTAGAGCCTGCTGAAGACTTCTGTTTGGGTGAGAGGTCACTGAGTCTCCCTTCAACTCAGCATGGTTAATCCACTGCAGTTCAAGGTTCTAGGAGGAGGAGTGGGAGCCGAAGATCACGTAGTTGGTCTAGGAGATGGGGAGGGTTGCTAAGGGCAGCAGCCGTTGGTGCGGTGTTCCTCTGGGCTGGCAGGGGTTGCAAAGGAAGCCCAGTAGCACGGGCACAAGGTCCAGGGCAGCATGGCATTCCTCAGGGCCAGTGGGGGTCCCACAGGAAGCACGTGGCACTGCGGGCCAAGATCCAAGGGTGGCTGGAGGTTTGCTTAGGGCAGGCGGGGGTCACGCAGGAAGCATGCAGTCTCTGGGGCCAAGGTCTGAGGGTGGCATGGCAAACTGTAGGTTTTTAAAAGATAATCTTTATCAAGATGAGAAAATCCACTTCCATTTTTAGTTTACGAGAATTTTTAAAATATCTTTAAGAGTGCTGGATTTAGTCAAATGCTTCTTTTGCATGTATTGAAAATAATCATATTACTTTCTCCTTTAGATATTTTACATTGAGTATAAACATTGAACAGGCCTGGGATTAATCCCATTTTGTTATGCAGTGTAATGATTTTTACATTCTGTAATTTGATTTTGTAGAGGATTTTTAAAGTTAGTTATCTGTTTATAGTTTTTTTTTTGTCCTCTAATGTCTTTGTCTGGTTTTTGTGTTAAGGTAATCCCCATTTTACAGAATGAATTAGGAAGTACTCTCTTGCCTATATCTTCTGAAAGATCATACAGAATTGATATAATTTTTTCTTCAGTGGTTTGGCAGAATTCCTCAATGAATGTATCAGGGTTTGGTGCTTTTTCTTTTGGAAGATTTTTAATTATTGATTGAATTTCCTCAAAGAGTATTGACCCATTCAGATCGCTGATTTCTCCTGTGCAAGCTCTGGCAGATTCTATCTTTTAAGGAATTGATGTGTTTCACCTGGGTTATAAAATTTATGAACTTGAAGTTATTCACAGTTTTCCTTTTAGACTTTTAATGTCCAAGGAACCCTCAGTGATATTCCTTATTTTATTTCATATATGACAAGCTCATTCTCTTTTTCTTAAGTAGTCTGGCTAGTGGTCTGATAATTTTTTCTTTTCATAGAACCACCTTAGATTTTTTTATTTCCTTTTTAAAAATTTCATTGATATCTGCCTTAATTTTATTAGCTTTTTCTGCTTCTTTGAATTTAATTTGCTCTTCTAGTTATTATATTCTAAACTGAAGTTTCAAGGATTGGATGTAAATTTCTTCTCTGAAATATACGTTCAATGCTTTAGATTTCCATGTAAGTAATACTTTTTGACTTATTTCAAAATTTGAATTGTATTTTCATTTTTATTTAATTCAGAGTTTCTAAGATTTTCTCTTTTATTAATACACTATTTAGATGCATGTGGTATAATCTCTAATAATTTTGGTATTTTCAGCTACGTTTCTGCAATTGATATCTAATTTAACCCCATTTGGTCTGAAAACAAACATTGTGTGATTTCTGTTCTCTGAAATTTGCTAACATGTGCTAGGGATATAGCACAGTGGCACAGGCACCTGCCTGGTCCTGAGTTTGGCTACTGATACCAAAAGGAAAAAAAAAAACCTGCCAAGATGCATTTTGTGGCTCAGAATATTGTTTATTTTGGGCAGAGAAGAGTTCAAAGCAAGAAATGTTATGAGAGATAAAATAAGCAACTACTCTTAATGAACTCTTCTCTATCCAAAAGTAAAATAATTATTCCTGGTTTATTTCAGCATGTATTCTATTTAAACTTGAGAGGTATGTACAGTCTGCCATTGTAGGAAGAAGTCATCTATGGATGTCAATTACATCTATTTCACTGATGATTTTGTTGAGTGCAGTTCAATATTGTCTAATTTTATGTGTTCTGTGCCCATTCCTGATAGAGAAATGCTAAACTCTCTACCTATCACAGTAGATTATTCTATTTGTCCTTGTATTTATGTAATGTAATAAACAACATATAGGCAGATCTCACTTTCTGATTCGTCCTGATTACTTAATAAATTCATGCATTTGATGTTCAAAGTGATTATATGTATACTTAGATTAAAACCTGCTGCAGATTTTACTGTTTTCTTCTTGTTGCTCATGTTTTTATTCATCTTTCATTCTATTCTGCTTTTTATGGTTTTATTTTTAGTTTTATTCTTATAATGGCATATTCCTGGGGTTCACTGTTCTGCGCCCATTGCTGACAGAGAAATGCTAAACTCCGTTTAGCATTTGTAGACCTCAAGCACTGATCACATCCAGCCATGCTTGTTTCACCGAGTCCCTCTGCCCCTGTTCCTCCCAGCATTAATTATACCATTTCTACTTTCAGCTCATCTTTTCCCTTCCAGGTGACAGAGGACAAGCAAGATTTATCTTTCTGTGGGTGCCTCATTTTGCTTTAGATGATGTTTTCCAGTTCTATCTAACTGCCTGTGGTTCACAGGATTTTACTTTTGATGGCTGGATAACACACCATTGTGTAACGTTTTATTATTCTAACTGAACATTTTTATATGATTTTATTTTGTTTAGCATATCAGTTATACTTTTTTTTAAAACTTTCACTCTTTGTAACACACATTTACAATTAGTCCAACTACACCTTAAATAAAACTATACTCTTATAAGATAGTGTATGTTACAATAGCAAAATAATTCTAACCTTTCCTGTTTATTGCTTTAAAAAAACTAAAGTACAGCAGTTTTTTAGAACCTAAATTGCAGGTGATTAGGTATATCATGATTATAAGAAATTCTATAAAACCCGAGGGAAGGAATGGAAATAGGTCTCAAGAACTATGGAACTAGAAGGTTAGAGTACATAAAAATTCTCATCTTTGTTCCTCAGATTGGGCATATAATTTATAAAAAATAAAGAAGCAGGAGAGATTCATGCGTTCTTCTCAGTTCTGATTCTAACATTCTTGAGAAAAGGTAGTATTTTGTTCAGCTGGATGAGGTGCCATCCTTGCTCCAAACAACTTTAATTAGAGAAAGGCACCTGGAGAAAGGAGCTTAATGAAACCAACTCACATGAGATGCCTGCCCTCAACACATACTCCTGGCTATAGAAGGGGATCAGAAGCAGGAAGAGAGACAAGTTTCCTTTGTTGAAAAAATTCGATGTCTCCTAAACAGGAAATCATTATTACTTTATGAATTTATTTTGTAAGATATTAACATTTTTATCCCTGAATGCAAATAAATTTTTATTTTCTATGCAATGGTTTTTGTTAATTTTAGTTAACTCATTCTCTTGTTGAATAAGACTTTGAGGAGAAACAGTGACTTCTGAATATTTGAGTATTTAAAAATTAACTTCATTTACTTTTTTCTTAAAGATTTTGTAGATTCAGATAATTCATGTACGGATGAAAACCGGAATATACGGAATAATTCATCCCCTCTTGCAGAAGGTAATACACTTTCACAACTAGTGGCCAGCATGGAGGGATAGAGGGTTTAACTTCGTTTCAAACAGTAACGGATGATCTGGCTGAAGTCCAGTGGACAACTGCAGAATATAGTGGTCTGAGTGCTGTGGTTTAAGGGGCCTTGAATGTCCCAGTCTCCAGATTTTTCCCACACAAAGCATGTTCTTGCTTGCCTCTAAACATTTGCTTACTTGAGATTGTGGAAAGACATGTCAAGGTCCCGCCTCTTTCTTCAATTAGTTATGTGATCTTTATCTGGGCATAAAATGCAAGGGCTTGGTACCCAGAAGAGATAAGTGACACTGAAACAGGAAAGGAGAGATTAAACCAAGCATTTAGCAAAAACAAGTTTCATCACACAAATGTTTGCCCCACTGTAGATGGTTTTGCTCACATTTAAGGGACATTAATGATCAAATCTTTATCACATGTGATTTGTAACGGATGTCTGGTTCAGTAGTAATCACCTCCTGCAAACCCCTATCGGTCACAGACAGCTTATGGCACTTTGTGCGAGTGTGAGGTTCTGTGTTGGAAGATACTTGTAGGATAAAGGGCTTAATTTTTATTTTAAAATATGAACACGAAAGGTCATTTTATAGATTTAATCTGTGTAATTAGATTGAACATAGGAACAAAAGTGATAAGCAAAATTCACAGTTGAACTGTTTGAAAATATACATGTGACTAAACAAAAAGGGAGAGAAACTTACCTAAAAGCTATTTGATAGTATCACACTTTTTATGAAAAAAATGGCAAAGAAAAATAATCCTGTGTTTCATTGCTTTTATACTTATACAACAAGCTACTGTTTCACCAGAGAAAAATATTTCTAGGTATCATCAGTTTTCATTTTCATGGGATACCTAAACTGATGAAATTGCTTATTATTTTAAGATCTGGTGATATCATTTATTCTCTTAACATTTTGAATTTCTAACTAGTTCAACTTGAGTACCATATTAGTTGCTTTCAATAAAAGTACCACATACTTTCCAAATTTATGTTTGTCAGAAAAGCCACGTTAGTGAGAGGCATTTAGTTTTGATGTTACTAAATTTTTTTGCACATATTAAAGCTCAGGGGAAGATAATCACAGAACGATTGCATTTTCTTTTCTGAGGAGCTTGAATTTTGTGATAAATCCAATATTGCTCTTCACCAAAGTATTAGATTTTAGAATACTTAATTTAGAATACATTTTCATATCTATTTCAAATGTCAAATTACCTGAAAATTTTAATATATTTTAATACATGATTCCATTGTAATGTAAAATATAGAAAAAATTGCTTACTATTTGAATTTCATTTGCATATATAGCATACATTATGTATATCTTATGCATATTTATCTTTATATAAATCTAATATTTTGATATGATCACCAGCTAAGCAATGTCTAAATACAGATTCACACTACATGTTATAGATAAATGTCAACATAAAAAGATCTTTGTGAAGCTTGTTTTTTCCCATTTCTTCTTTTGTGTGGCATGTGGTGTGTGTACCTGTGTGTCCAGCTAACAGTAGGCTGTTTATAGAGATGGGCTCGAGGAAGGTGCTCTGTTGCCCTGATGTCCTACTGACAAACATACTGCTAACAACGTGGAAAATCACTCTCAGAGGTCAGACCTTATGCACAAAATCCTATGATAAGGAAGAAAATCAGACCTCTGACAACTGTACTGATGAGAGGATAACGTGGACCTCCAGACCTGACCTAAGTCCTGACCTTCAGATTAATGGAGCGGCTGTCACACATGATGGAACTTACATCTGTGAAATGGTAAACTCTACTGGGAATTTCCAACATGAATATCAACTCCAAGTGCTAGGTAAGGGGCGGAATAAATTGTGATGCATCACATCATCATATTGGTGTCTGAGACAAATTCTCTAAATTTCAACTCTGATCTGGAGGCTGAAGCATAATTTTCCTCACATCCCTGCAGTGCGCCCTGAAGCAAACATCTTTCCCATTAAGAATAAAACCGTGGTGTGCGAGGCAGTTGCAGGCAAGCCAGCTGCACAGATCTCCTGGATTCCACAAGGGCACTGCCAGAGTGAGGAAGAAACGACCAGCTACAGCAACAGCACAGTGACGGTCAGGAGCAGCTGCAGCTATTCAGGGAACGTGTCCACCGTGACCTGCTTGGTCTCGCATTTGACTGGGAACTGGAGTCTGTCTGAATCTCTGCCTTCTGGTTAGTAATTCTTTTAGTTTTTAAAGGGACTTTAAAAAAGCCTTTATTTTCTATTTTCTTTTCCGGTATAGGAGGCACTATGCTTGCCAGGCAGGCACTTTGCCCCTGAGCTACATTCCCGGCTTTCTTTTGGTTTTATACTTGCTTTTCCCTCCATTCTTTTATTGGTAAAAGAAGGAAAAAAATATGCAGATGAATTTCCTTCAGAGATGTTTTCTCAGTCGCCATTTTATCTTCCTTCTTCTTCCAAAATATATAATGTCTAAAAGAATATTACAGAATTTTTAAAATTAAAAACCATATTTTAGAATGCAGTTTATTCCACTGATATTACTTGCTTGTATAGTAGCATCAAATTGACTTAAGTAGTGTTTTTAGCAGGATACTTATTGCTTAAATAGAAGTAGAAAGTATGAACAGTTTTAACAGATACTTAGGGCAAATGAGAAGGATAAGTTGCTTTCATGGAATCTTAGTCTGGGATTAATTTTTTCCTCTAGGCTCTTCCAGGTGGAATTTCTTAAATGTCTTATAATAATATTTGTTATGTAGTTCTTCACTTTTGCTTGTATCCTAGTCCATATTCTTGTCATTTAAAAATACTGAAGTATTACTTTAATATAAAACGTACATAGTTTAAAGTCAAATTGGTGCACAAGGACCTAACCTTTGCCTTTCCAAACCCCCTCTCTGTTTTCATTCAGTTCTAGAGCCAGATGCTTTCAGCTCTTCAACTGTTTTTTGTAGTATTTGGATCCATTTTCCTAAATTATATGGCCATAGTGCTGTTTCTTATTTATCAAATTTAGGCATTATGTAGCCACCTCTTCTTATGGTAGATGAACAGTTACCATTATCTTATTCCTTCCCTCATCTTTCATATTCATGAGGTAGCAATTTTTAGTAATTAAATTAATTTGAATATGCAAATATGGTTTTAAAATCAACACGTTTTCTCTGTTTTTCATAGTCTTCATACTTGCTTTATTTTTAAAAACTTCCAGTACATGTATGTACTATGAATTAACATGGAGGTCACAGGTAAAATTAGAGAATCCTACTAATGCTTTCCACAGATGAGGTTAGGCAATCTATCACTTTCATTTTTTTCTTGATGATATCCTTTCTTGAATTTTTTTATACTCATGGGTTCATCAGTAATGGTTCATCACTTAGCCTATTATATAGCTATTAGCCTGGATCTTCTATGCCTTGATTCTGAATGTACTTAAGCTGGGTTCCTTTTGCCTTCTACCATTTGTTTGTTTTAATATCTTTCTGTCATATACTCTCTTTGGTAATCCTTGGCTGTCTATTGATTTCCAAGTGAACTCTGAAGAGCTGATTACAAGCCTGACTATATGATAGTGGGACTTGTCAACTAGTTAACGTCAGTATAGAGAGAAAGAAATAAACGAATTTTTGTTTTGCAATAATTGGAGATCTTCATTTATCTACTTTGCTCTGGGACTGTTGGGGAGCTTCAGGAAATAAGTCTCCAGTCTTTTGTTTTGGAAGGATAAGCCTCACAGTTACTGTTTTGGGAAGGAGACACAAGTGTGCATGGGCACATTCCACTGTTCACAGCTTAAACTTCCTTTTGATATTGTTGTTCAGTATGGCACTTCCTGTCCACTTTCCATGATGTCTGGATCCTTGACTGTGAAGTCTCCAGTTCATCTTCTTAAAACCAGACTCCCTTTCTGTCTGCTAGTGAGGGAAGATGTGCTCACAGAGCAGACAGAGCACTTGAGAGCCTATGTGTTTTAAGGCAGACATTCAAAGCAATCCCAGCATGTGGCTTTATATTTTATTCACTATGTGCCCTTTTCCTGACTTTTCAACCCTATGTCTTTTTAAGTCTTATTGTTAACTGACAAATAATAATTTTAGATATTAATGGGGTACAAATGATATTTTGATCCATTTGTGTTTATAAAATGATCATTCATAGTAGTCAATGTATGTGTTACCTCAAATAGTTATCATTTCTTCTTGGCAAGATCATTCAAAATACTTAAGCCATTTTGTCCTATGTGATGCTTCCTACTCATGCTCCAAAAGTCTTTTAGAGTTTCCTGTGCGTGAAGGTTCTCTCTTATTTTATTTTATAAATCACTTGCTATTCTTTTTCCCACCTAAAAATATTAAAACATGTACTCTGTTTTTGTCTTCTTGTTTTATACAGTCTTTTCAAGTCTGTACTTTGTTTTTTTCTTACGAATGTTTTATTCAGTTTTATGAAAGAAAAGGAAAACTATGTGTTTAAATCACCGTTAAAAATGTTAATTCCCAGATGAGCATGGTGGCACACTGGAGAAGCTGAGGACTAGAAGTTTAAACTCAGCCTGGGCTAGTTAATGAGACCCTGTCTTTAAACAAACAAACATCAAACAAACATGCCAAGGATGTGGGTAGAGTAACCATGGATTGATCTCCAGTTTTGAGAAGGAAAAACATTATCCCTAAAGTGATTTTAAATAAATTTTTTACTGAGAATATTAACTGTGCTTTGGCCATGTGTAAACTCCTGCCATCCTGTTACAATATGATGTCAGACTTATAGACCTCTGGAGCTGAAAGACCTGTAGTCCAAATCCCATGAGTGCAGAGATTTCCTCTCTCTTCTTTGCACATCCAGTGAGAGGTCTCATTAGTTTAAAACTTTCAAAACAATGTTATTGATGTTTTTCTAAGTATAAAATAAAACTTTTTAAAATGAGAACTCCAGGATTTAAAAACAGATGGAAGAACTGGACCGAGGCTCTCGCTCTGCCTCCCTTTCCCTTCCTCTTGTGGCTCTTCAGCTACATTTATGAGACACCAGGAGCACAGTTTGGAAACCACTTGCCAAGCTGACAGTTGCTTTGTTGACTTGTGCAAGTAAGCTGAGCTTTTACTGTGGCCAGCAGTTTATAAGTAATTACATTTGCTGCCATGCATTCATTTTAGCTTTACTGCCTTAGCAGAAAGGTAACCAGAATTAGTTATTTTTCCAGTTATCGTCTCTATAATAAGCTATTTATTTCTGATGCTGGAGATGCGAGCACCTTTGTTCTTACTATAACAATGGGGGTCTGAGTTTCACTCTCTTGTATAGGAATTACCCATTCATGAATCCTTAAAGCAGCAAGACCTGGCTAAGATGATTTCTTGATGAAAACTCCAGAGTCTGACTGGTAGAACAGTTCAGAAGTGTTTACAATAAAATGACACAATGAATGTCAAGTACTCTGAGATCTCCTTGAATCACATATATTTTGGTTTTTGAGTAGATTTTATCTTTTAGGTGAGTTTTAGGTGAGTTTTAATTTCACAGCAAAATTAAGTGGAAAGTACAGGATGTTCTTATGGAACCTTGACCTCACCCAAGTACAACCTCCCCCATTGTGGCCATCCTGCACCTCTGTGTTACATTCCTACAATCACTGAACCCACGTGGATTTATGATTCTCACCGAAGTCCATTTGGGTTAATTGTTGGTGAGGTAAATTCTACGGTTTGGGCAGGTATATAAAGACATCTATCACTCTCAATGGTGTCACCGAAAACTCTATCACTGCTATAAAAATACATTATGCTGCAGCTTTTTATCTATTCTCTTTCTCCTGGAAATCACTGATACTTTTACTTTCTATCTTCCTAGTATTGCCTTTCTCAGAATGTTTCAGAGCTGCAGCCATGCATTATATAACCCTTACAAATTGGTTTGTTTCACTTAATAATAGACATTTAAGTTTCATTCATGTCTTTTCATAAGTTGATATGTTTTTCTTTTTGCACAGAATAGTATTCTGTTGCCTTGATTTATCACATGTGATCCATGTATTTTTATGTCTATAGTTATAGGTATCTCAAGACCAAGTGAGTCATATATTAGATACATCATTCCTTCCATTGCTATTATTTTGATCATCGTGGGATCAGTTTGGTTTTTGAAAACCAAAGGCTTCAGGTATTGAACAATTAATATCTTTTCTCTTTTAGCCTTATTAGACTTGAAAAACAAGAAATAGTGGAAGTGACTGGGTAAATTAAGATGCTAACATTGATTATCTTACCATCAAAAAGTATCTTTGTTTTTGACTGGACTACTTTCGTTGAGGAGAGAGATTTTGCTAGGTTAATATGACAGTCAACCAGGGTCAATCAGGTACTTATATTTTTAATTGAGAAATAATTAGAATAATTTATTTCATGTTACATACATTCTATTGTATCAAGTACCTGTTGCATAATTTTATGTCTCTTTCTAATATCTAGAATTTGCTCATTTGGGTATGTATTAACCACAAGCAGCATCCACCACTCATGCCTGGTAGTTCCTAACTTAAATGGCTTCTTTCAAAATGAACCATAATCTTCAACAGCACAGGTTTTTTTTTTCCTGTGTTCAGTCTAAACAATATTTCCTATATTTATTCCAGCTTATTTTATTTTTATAGGCAATGTAAGTTTAAAAATCCAGCACCTACTCCTGCTGTTGATGAGGTAAGATTAGATAAAAAATTTATAAACTTTAAATACACAGTGTGAAAATAGAGCAATTTGTAATTTGCATCAATATTAATGTTTTATTTTAAAATTAAAAAAAATTCTGGTGTCTCAATGCTAATTGTCGGGTGTGACTTTGTTAATTATCTATCAAGTGCTTTTTATATATTGCCTCAAATCCACATTTTCATCTCAATGTTCATTCTAATTACATGGCATTTGCATTATTTGGACAGTAATAATTGGAGAAACTAAGTTAATGTTTCCTTTTCCATGAAACCATCTTTAGTTCTTTATTTTTGCTTTTTCAATACTCTTTTTCTTTCCCTCTTACTCAAGCTTAAAATATATATCCTGCTCATTAATCTGTCATAACTATTTGTTTACAAAGTCTTTGACTTTGTTGTTGTAGTCAGGGATTGCAAGTAGAACCAAACAATACAGGATACATAATTTATAGTGTTATTTATAATGGCCACTCAAGGAGTCAAATACAAAGAAAGTGCAGGAAATATTTCCACACACTACAGATCTAGAGAATCCAGCTGAAGGCCTGGATCCCATAGCAATGTCCTGCATGAGTTCAACTGAAGAACTAGAGTCCATTACAATGCCCTCTATGAGTCCAACTGGAGGCCGAGAGCCCACAACAATGGCTCATGCAAGTCTGTTTCACGGATCTGTGCTGGGAAGGCCCAAAAGTCAGTGATGGAAGCTGGAAAATCTATGCCAGTGGGATTAAGGATTTGTGCCAGGGGGGCTGAGTATTCTGCACTGCAGCCAAGAAGCGATGCTCAAAATAAAGACCAGGGCTCCCCTGAAAGTGCCACAGCCATCCTCAGTGACTATGATGTCCCAAGCTCCTCCAGTGACGAGAATAGCTAAGTTATCAAGAAGGCAGCATGACAAGCTTCACCTGGAAATTGAACAGCACAGCATCTTCCCCTCTGGATCCAGGGAGCTATGCTGAACGTCAGGAACAGAGCTCCCCCAAAGAGAACTGCAGCCATTCTCAGCAACGACAATGTCCCAAGCTCCTTTGATGATGAGACTAGCCAAGTTCATATGAAGAAAGAAGCTCAACAAGCCCCTCCAAAAGAACCCATGGCAACAGGAGAACCAATGACACCAAACAACAACACATTCAACTCTTCCTCTCCAGTTCACCCTTTTATCATAGCAGTAATCCTCAAGTGGGCTATCCACGCTCAGTACCATGCTCATTTAGTCCAGCTGGTATTGTAAGTTGACCACCAGTTATCAATCCATCACATCTGTCCTTTGAAATTCTTCTTCAGCCACTTTATTCTTCTCCATTTATACTTTTACACAGCCATCATCTCACCAACAGATACAACTAACCAGCAAATAATTTTTGATAAGCTATTAAGACAAAGACTTGTTCTGGTCATTTAAGATCAGAGAAACAAACACAAGCACTAGTGGTAGATGCTAAAGCTGTATATACTTGTAGAAAATTACAGATGGTTTCTGCAGTAATTTCTATTCTTTTTAACTGCTTTTGACTTTGCATTCTTTCCTAGGATGAAATGCAGCCTTATGCTTGTTACACAGAGAAGAACAACCCACTCTATGATACTGTGAACAAGGTAAAGATGTTTCAGATATCGCAAGGTGAAATCGATTACAAAGGCCTCTGTACTTTATAAGTTATTGGAATCTAACACCAGGAAAAATGAGTCAAGATACAATACAATTACTGTTTTGAATTTTCTTACAGATATAGAATGGAAAACCTATTTTGAAGTTAGTTTTGCAAAGCTTCTTGGAAGAAAAGACATTCTAATGGATTTGCATTCACATCCTTCTATCATAGAAATTTAAAATCTCAGCTGCTGTTAGCTAACTCTGTGAAGAACTTGTGATTGTGCAAAGAAAGCACACACTTGCAATATTTAAAGTGTGCAATACAGTGAATAATGAAAAACCAAGTTTCCTCAAGAAATAATTTTATAGGATCATCGTCAACAGTTTCTCATTATTCTTAAAACTTCTACATACATTTTATATTTTTATGTGCCCATGATATATATATGCATTTATATGTCTATTTACATTTGTCTTTGTATGTATATAAATGTGTCAAGACGCAAATAGGAACATACTGTAATGCTACCCAGTAGCTATAAAAAGCTAGTTATGTGAATCTTGAAGATGTTTTTTATGTCAACACGAGAAAAGCTACCTCATTCTTTTCTAATGGTTACATACTATGTCATTTTATGATTATGTCATAATTTAATTAACTACAGCCAAGTATGGAAATTCAGATGGTTTTGTTTGTGGAATGTGTAGGAATGATGTCAGTAGACTATTTCTTATGGATGTATTTCTTTGTGTTGTTTGTGTCTGTAGGATAATCTTCTTGAGTGAAATTTCCAGGTCAATTGGTATGCACTTATATATTATTGATATGTATAACAAATTGTATCAATTTACATTCCTTCCAATGGTGCACGATGGTGCCTTGTTTTGATATCTGCAAGATTCTCACTTTCTTCATTCCTATTTTTAAAAACTAACTAATTGTCTAATATGATGTTAGATTATAATAAGAACTGAACTGTTTAATAAAACTGGGTTTATATTTTTTGTTGTGTTTGAAAGAGAGAGAAAATATGGGTAAAGATGTATATTTTTTCTGAGGTTCTTGTATTCCTGGAAGTGTTGAAATGCAATGCTTAACAATTTTGCAGATGTTACATGTTGGAATTATGTATTTTTACTTTGTACATTACATTCTGGTGTCTTTCAGAATAGTAGACATCTATGGACTACATACATACATACATACATACATACATATGCACTACAGAGGACTTGGGGTTTCTACATGCTAAGAGAACAGCCATAGGATCACATGACCCTCCCCTAGATTTTTCTGTGGAGTGAAATAGTGGGAAGATGTACATTGAGAATTTTTAGTATTATAAGAACTTGTTAATCATGAAAAGTATGAAAAATATGACTGTTCTATAGCAGAAAAGACATTATTTTCATCATGACAAATTAAAATACATTTATTCTTCAATTGTGCTACCAAAGAAGTTTAAGATAATTATTACTAATACATTTTCCCCTCTCCAGACATTTAAAATATTTTAGGCTTTATTTTCAAAGCATGTTTTTAGCTTTATGTTAGAGATAGAACTAGCATGTTGGCATGTGGCATGTGATATTGTTAAATGAACTATTTTGACTTGGGTACTTTATCTCACAAAACCCCAGTTCAATCCATTAAGTTTCTTCACTTAAGTATTAGTGGTATGCACAGACATCATAACTCTATCCTGGACAATTTATTAATTCTTCATGCATCTTTAGTTGGGAAAAACCTTATAGTAAGTAATAACAAGACTGTATGTTTAAATACTACTTTAAAAAATAACAAAAATGCATTTAAAATTTAACTTCATAATGTCAAAGCAGCACATAATATCACAGAGAAGACTTTAAGATAGTTCAGAAACCAGGAACAATTTTGTACATCTGGAATCCTAGCACTCTGGGAGACTGAGACAGAAACATCTCAAGTTTGAGCTAAGTTGGATAACTTAGTGACTTAGCAACATCTTGTCTCAAAATTTAAAGAGAAGTTAATAATAAAAAATAAAGTCTGAGGATATATCTCAGTGCACAGCCTCTGATTCAATCCTCAACACTGCTAAAAATATTTTATTGAAATTATAAGTATTATACTATATAGGAAATAATAATATGAAAATGGCTCATTATGGAAGTGAAACATGGCTGAACATTTGAATTGTGGAGAAATAAAAAATTTATATAGACTCTTCAAATCCACTCTAGTTCTGCTGAATCACAAAAGCTAGAGAATGGATCACTATCCTAGTCACTTTGTCCTCACTGGGACAAAATACCCAACACTTACAATTTAAAGGAAGAGAGGTTTCTGTTGGTGTCTGTTTTCAGTACATGGTCAGGATGGGCTTGGTGGAAAGGGCTGGCAGACAAATGCTGCTCACATCATGGGAGCCAGGAAGCAAAGAGAAAGAGGAAGAGCCTGGAAGGAAGTGAGTCCTTCATGATCCCGCCCCACTGCGAATGCCTCTCTGATCAGGCCCAACAGCACAATCAACTGCTGACCTCATTAGTGGACTAATCCACTGATAAGTACAGTGCCCACATAGTCCAGTGACCTTCCAAAGACATGAGACTTCGGGGTCTTTTTAGATCCAAACCACAGCACCCAGATATGCCAATTTAGTCTTCCAGGAAGCAGAGGCAGAGATGGAATTAGGGGTGCTAAAGGTTAAGTGGGGAAAGAGTATACCCGTGAAAGACTGAAGAGGAGCAGGGTAAGGAAGGGCAAGCCTTTAGACTGCAGTGCTGATTTGAATGAAACTCATGAAAGGAAAATGGGAGGACACAGGATTGAGAACGAAGAACCTAGAGTACAATGTTAGAAATGTGCAAGTCTTAGCCAAACCAGTGGGGAGTTCTGGAGCAAAGTACAGTCTTTATGTAAGGAAATGACGTTTTGATACCCCTGCAAGATGAGTCATTGGCTGGGGGCTGCCTGCATAGAACATGGCCCCAAATCAAAACCTGAAATGAATCCTGATGATGTTAACAAGTGGAAACCATCAGTTATCTGTACTCCTTGAAGTGGAATGGTAAGTTTTCTACTGATGGGAAATTTGAACTGCATACCTACGTGATTATAGTTTTTCACTATGAGTTTCTCTAGTTAAAACTCTTTTGCCAATCTTATTTTAGACATACCTTCTATGAAGAATCTATCATTTTTAATAAAGTTATAATTATTATTTACTGTTTTTAGAATTTTATGTTTACTGAGTTTATGTTTACTGAATTTTATGTTTACTGTTTAAATCATACATATTTTTGTAATTACTTATGTATTTGTTCATATTTTTATAATCTTACATGTCTTATTTACTATACTTTCTCCTTTCCCTTCATTTCTTTTTTATTTTTCCTTTATATATTTTGTTGCATTATGTTTTCTTTCTTTCCTCCAACAGTTTCAAAGTTGTCCATTATAATGTACATATGTTAGTGGTTATGCTTTGTTTATGGACATCTACAAGCAATTTTTCTGGAGAGTGTAGTTGATGTAAACTGTATGCTTTGTTTAGGCACAGCTTTACACATGTGTAATCAATATAATAAACTTCACCACCACCCCTAAAAGTGCTCTTATGTTTCTTTGCAAGTTTATTCCCTAAACTTGTGTTTTCTCCATTCTCTATTCCCCAGGTAACCACTGATCTACTTTCTATGTATGAATCCTCCGATCCATAAGCATAGTAGATCTCACTTTTCTGTGTAGAGATCTTGTGCATCTTTTGTGAGATTTATCCTTAAATACCGCATTTTGTACCCTTTGATATTACTTTTTAAAATTTTTATTTAAAGAAAGATTAAACAAAACAGAAAATAGGTAGAAATAGTACATACGTTCAGAGAAAAAAAACAGTAAGAAATCACTAGTTGATGTTGTTTTACAAATAGTTGTTCAAGGTACAAAAATGGAACATATAAAGTGGGAATTCAAACAGAGAGACTGCAAAAAGTTCTGTTCAACTGTCCAACAAAAACTTAGTAACATGGTTGTTAATCCTATACATTTAAACATACATGCAGTTATCCATATCTCCATTTATGTTTAGATTAAACAAACTAAAGCAGGTTAAAATTATTCTGAACAAAGAATAATAGTATTGCTGGATTTCACATCATGATACTCCATGATCAGCACTGGGTACTGTAGTGTCTTCTTTTTAAAACAATTTAAAGAAAGACTAAAAAACAGAAAATGGGTAGAAATAATACGTAATTTCGAAGAAAAAATAAATGGAAAGAAATCACTAGTTGATGATTACAGATTGTCTTCTTACAAATAGTTATTCAAGATACTAAAGTGGAGCATATAAAGTGGGGATTCAAACAGTGAGATTGCAACCAGTTCTGTTCAACTATCCAACAAAAACTTAGAAATATGGTTATCAATCCTATACACTTAAACCTATATGCAGTACCCATATCTTCAAATATGTTGACTTTGAATAAACCCAAGAAGGTTAATATCACTCTGAACAAAGAATAACACTATTGATGGGTTTCACATTATGACACTCCGGGATCAGCACTGGCTATTTTAGTGTCTCCTTTTCTTCAAAGTATCTGTTCATTTCATCAATTGTCATAAAATCAGTTCTCATAAACTGTTTATAGATTCTACACATGCACGAGTCTTAACATGTATTTCTTTTTTAAATTTTGAAAGTAGTAAAAATGCAACAGCACAAGACAGAACAAAGCCAATCGAGACAATGCAGTGAAATTGGTACAGGATTTCACAGTAGGATACTGGGATAGTAGTAATAAGTACTATGGTATATCTCTTTAACTTAACAATAGCTGTCCAGTCAATTACGTATTATAAAATCAAACCAAAAATAGAACATTGTAAAACCAATTGAGAATACTGAATAGAGCAAAAGAAACAACCAAACAGTTAAAACAACCTATGCTTTCACACAGGAGACAGAAGGAAATCCCCCGTATTTGTTTTACTGCATATTGTCATCCTCCCAAGAGATGCTGAAACACCTATCCCCAGTAGCTAAGGGGGGAGGGGGCAGGTGGAAGAAGGGTGCTTGATTTTCAGCTTGCCTGGCAGTAGGCTCACAGGTAATGGTTCTTCTCCAGGTCCAAGCTGCGGGTGCTTACCAAGAGGGCAGGTGAATAAGCTGCCTGAGTCCCTCCATGGCCGGATCTCTGGAGCTCTGTTCTCCTCCTGGTCCGTGTTGCAGATGCTTACCAAGAGGGCGGGTGAATAATCCCCTTTGATATTATTATAAGTGGTTTTTTGTATATGAGTTTGTTTGTGAGTGTATTTGTATATGAGTTTTGTATATGAGATATAAGCACATCTCCAACAATATTCCAGTATTCCACTATCTTGATTACTGTCATTTCACAGTAAACTTAGAAATCAGACAATGAAATTCCACTTTTTAAAAATGTAACACCATTTTTGATCTTCAGTATTCCTTCCATTTCTTTATTAATTTGAGAATAAGCTTGTGAATTTCTTCAAAGAAAACCAGCTGGAATTTTAAATCCAAGAGCAAGGGGCTAGAGATATAGCTCAGTAGCATTAGCACTTGCCTGGCAAGTGTGAGGTTGTGAGTTCAATTCCTGGTACCAAAAATAAATAAATACATACATACATAAATAAATAAATCTAAGATCAACTTGAATATTAGTGGCATTGAAATCCACCGTAAATGTAGAACATCCTTCCATTCATTTTAGTCTTACACAATTTCTTTCAATAATTTTTTAGAGGTTTTAGTGTGCAAAATTTTCACATCATGCCTTGAGAGAAAGTACCAGACTACAAGTCTTTATTTTAAATTTATAGCTAAATATTATATATGTTTAATTAATTAAGTTTGTTGGTATACTTTAGGTGTACACAATGATTACATTCATTATAGGGAATGTATACCTGTACATGATATAACTTGATTGGCTTTTATTCCCCATCTTTCCCTTCAATCCCTTTTTCTTATTTTCAAATGCTTTGTTCCCATTTTTCTTTTTTTCCTCCCTTTCTCCCCTCCTTCCACTAGTTCCCCTTCCCAATTGTATATTTTCTTCCAATTTCAACGTCTCTATTATGCATTTTGGTCCTTATTTACACTTTTGGTTATAAATGATTTTAATTTTAAATTACAGATTCTAATTTTTCTTGATATTGTATAAAAATAAAATTTTCTATATTGGCCTATATCCTGGAGCCCTATTAAATGTACTTAGTGGTTCTAATAGCTTTTATGAAGATTATCAGATTTTGCGTGTATGATCACGAGATCTATCAGTGAAGACAGTTTTAGTTTTTCTTTTCCAACTCAAGAGACTTCTGTTTTGTTGAATTGATTTACAGATGAAAATCTCTAGTACAAGATTGCTGAGAAGTATGTTAGGCAGCTCAGTAGATAAAAATATTATAGGCGATCAGGCAGGGCTAGAGCCTCAAGAACTTAAAGCAAAAGATGAAAATATTACAACTGTGGCTGGAGGCATGTTTGTTGAAGGTCAGGCCTCAAGATAAAGATGGAATAAACAGGATTGCATGCCTCCTCCAGGGATAAGCAATCCCATTAACTACAATGTTAGCTGAAAATGGGGGGGAGGTAAATGCCCTTAGTTGTATCAGTGAAGTTTCCTCCTATTCCTCCTTTCCTGACAATATTTTTTTTTTAAAAACAGCAATGAATGTTAGATTTTCTCAAAGCATTTTTCTGTATCTGTTAAGATGATTTAAATTATTTTCTATTTTAAGTTCTTTTTTATTTTAAAGAGAATTTAAAAATTCCAAAAATGATACAAAATTTCAAAACAAGATGTTAGGAAATTAACAATGGTTATTACATTGCATACTGTTGTCTTCAAAATTGTTGCTCAGATTATCGGATATGGGCATGCAAAATTGATCAAACAAGATAAGCACCAACTGTTCCTTTCAGTAGTATGAAGAGTACAGTTATCTTAGCTACCCTGCATATATTTCCCCTTCTTTTCTCGTTTCTCCCACCCTAGTTGTTTTCTTTTTTTTAGCAGTTTTTTTCTCTTCCACAATATCTATTATACTTTTAGATCTTATTTACTCTTTCAGTTTTTTAATACTAGGGAGATAATACGATGCTTATGCATGCAAGTCTAATTTATTTCACTTACAAGTAAGAACTCTAATTGTATCTATTTACCTATAAAAGCCTCCAGTTTATCCTTCTTAGTAGCAGAGTAGTACTCCATTATATAAAAATACCACCCAAAAAACCTCCACCACATCTTTTTAGTCCATTCCTTGGTTAATAGATATCTGGGTTGTTTCCAAGATTTAGTTATTACAAATCATGATACTATAAACATGGGTGCACATATATCGCAGTGGTATAATATTTTTAATTCATCTAGGAAAATACCCAGAAGGAGAAGAGGTGGGTCAAATGGGACTTCCAAACCTAGTTTTTTGAGATATCTCCACACTGATTTCTACAGTGGTTGTACCAGTTTATACTCCCATTAGCAACAAGAAAAATTCCTTTTTCTGCACAGTCCCAGAAGTATTTGTTACTGGATGATTTTTTTGATGATAGCTATTCTGTCTGGTGTGAGATGGAGTCTCAGTGTTGTTTTAATTTACACTTCTTAAATTACTGATGATGTTAAACATTTTTTCATATATTTATTTGCTTTTTATATTTCTTTTTTTTACTTCAAAGAGAGAAAAAAACAAAAAAACAAAGATACCAAATTTCAGAGACAAGAAAATAGGAAATTGACAATGGTTATTATATTACATATTGTTATCTTCAAAGTAGTTGCTCAGATTAGAAGATATAAGCAGGCATAATTGATCAAACAATATAAACACAAACTGCTCTTCAATAAACTAAGAGAAATCATCAGTATAATTATCTTAGCTATCTTTTGTATACATATTTTTTCCCTTTTCTCTTACTTTTATCCTTTCGTCTATCCCAGTTCTTTACTTCTGAGCTGTTTCTTTCCTTTTTACAGTACCTGTTGGAGATTTTGGGTCGTATTTACTTTTTCAGTTTCTTATACTAGGGAGATAATATGAAATTTACACATGTAGGCCTGGCTTATTTCACTTATGAGTATGGTATGAAGTTGCATCCATTTACTTATAAAACCCTTGAATTTCTCTTCCTTTATAACCGAGTAATACTCCATTGCATAAAAATACCACATCTTTTTTATTCATTCTTTGGTTGTTGAGCATTTGGTTTGTTTCCAATATTTAGCTATTACAAATTATGCTGTTATAAACATGGATGTACATATATCACTGTGGTGGGTGTTTTTCAGTTCTTGGAAAATACGCAGAAGAAGAATAGCTGGACCAAATGAGATTTCCAAACCTAGTTTTCTAAGGAATCTCCACACTGATTTCCACAGTGATTGCACCAGTCTTCAATCCTACCAACAGTGGAGAGGTGTGCCTTTCCCTTCACTGCCCTGTCAGCCTTTGTTACTGATTTCTTGATGAGAGCCATTCTTTCTGGTGTGAGATGAAATCTCATTGCTGTTTTAACTTGTAACTCTTGAACGACCAGTGATGAACATTTTTTCATATATTTGCCATTTGTATT